GAAGGTGTTGGAATATCAAGTGATCCTTAAAACTCAAATGAAACTCTCATTAAACATCGCAATGTGAATCTTCCAAGTGAATCTGGATTTAATTCTTTACCTCCATAGACTTTGCGCATTTTTGGTGAACGCTTTATCTCAACCTTTTTTGGAACCTTCCTTCCAAGACAAAAGCCTGGGCTTTCCAAACCCAGGGAGTAAATCAATAGATTGTTCATCATAAGCTGTTGCAAGTCTAAGAAAACCACCTGAAAGAAAGATGAAACTGCACATAAATGCAACAAAAATGTTACAAAGCAAATACAAAAATGCGAAATTCAGAATGAAAATCATCAAAACATACCTAAAATCAGTGAACTGTAGTGTAGGTTTGGTGTAAGTTTGATGTAAACTTACACTGAAACTTACACTCCATAGTGTAAGTTTAGTGTAAGTTTGGTGCAAACTTACATCAAATTTACACATCAACAGTGTAACTTTACACTAAAAGTTACATTCCTGAGTGTAAGTTTACATCAAACTTACACTTCACAGTGTAAGTTTACACTTCTGTGTGTAACTTTGATGTAAACTTACACTCCAGGTGTGTAAGTTTCAGTGTAAGTTTGCACCAAACCTACACTAAACTTACACTATGGGGTGTAAGTTTTAGTGTAAGTTTACATCAAACTTACACCAAACTTACACTCCAGTTCATTGATTTTAGGTATGTTTTGATGACTATCATTGTGAATTTTGTCTTTTTGTATTTGATTTGTAACATTTTTGTTGCATTTATGCGCAGTTTCATCGTTCTTTGACTTATCTCCTTTGCACATGGATCATCTCCTTCAGCAAGAGGTGCACTCTTCCAGTCAACTCTCTTGCAAGACTTGGAGGGCCCCAACACAGCCAACAAATCTTTTGTGGGCTGTGTCTTCAAGAAGTTGACAAAGACTGCTTGCAGCTCTCGGACCCCAACATTGGGATCAGCCACCAGTCTTTTCTGAGACACCTTGGGCCACAACACACTGGGTCAAACACATTGGAGGTGTGAAGGTCTTGTGCGCATGTGTGAACTTGCCTTTTCCGAAGTGAACAGCATCATTGCTGATGAACTACAGTGGTTCATTTACTATGATTCTTTTTGGGTGTGATTCTGTCTTTGTTGAATGAAAGCCTTGGCTGAACCTTTGAAGTGAATCTTTACTCTGATTCTTTTGTGGAATGAACCTGCCTTTGTTCTGAGTGAAAGACTAAGGTGAATCTTTTTTCTGACTGAAGCACCTCTGGCTCTGATTTTGTTTTAAAGTGAATCTGTGTGCTCCCACCCACAGTCTAAGGTGAATCAAGGTGAATCCTGTATACAGATCTTTTTTGAGAAGTGAACCTGGCTGCTCTGAGTAAAAGCACGAGGTGAATATTTAAGGTGAATATGTTATTCTGGTCAACTTGTTGAGGTGAATTTGTGTTTGTGTGTCAGGAAAATCATAAGTGAATCTTTTAGGGTGATACCTTATGTGAAGAGTGTCGTGCTTTTTGGCAAGAGCATTTTGAACAAAATAGGATCAAAAATCATTTGAAGAAAACACAAACCTTTTAGGTTAATCAATTGAACAACCTTACATTTTTAGTTTATTTGACCTTTCAAACTATTAGTTAAAACCATTGTTCTGACTAATAGTTTAATCATCTGTTTTAACTAATAGTTAAGAAACAGTATATAGACTAGTAGTTAGAAATCTGCCTAACCGAAGCTATTGGGTTGCTGCTCCTTCGAAAGTTTATAAGACAGAGGAATGGTCCATGGACGGACGGCTGGCCCCTCTCCGAAGATGAGGGGTGTCTGCATCCGTCCGCAGACGGTGATGTCCGAAGACGACAGCCGGCGCGCCCTCCTCCGAAGAAGAGGTCAACATATATCTCTGCAATCGTCCGCAGACGAGTTGCCCTCGTCCGAAGACAGGGGGTCCTGCGTCCGCAGACGCCTGCGTCCGAAGACAAGGTCGACATATCCTCCGCGGACGAGTTGCCCTCGTCCGAAGACAGGGGGTCCTGCGTCCGCAGCCGCCTGCGTCCGAAGAAAAGGTCGACATATAGTCCGCGGACGAGTTGCCCTCGTTGGAAGACAGGGGGTCCCGCGTCCGCAGGCGCCAGAGTCAGAAACGCTCCCATGGGTACGCGCGCGCTATATGTCTTTGTCCTTCCATCTCTATATATCTATATATAGTATATTTCTCTAAGTTGTCTAGATCATATTATATAGATATATATATGTTTGTCGCGTCTTCTCTCTCTCTCTCTTTCTCTTCTCTCTGAAAGATGCTGCGGCGCTGGCTGTCTGTCCGCCAAAGAACTGCTGGCCTCTCTCACTGGCGCGCCCAGGCCAGACGCAGAGACAACAAAAGTCTGCGAAACAAAAAATATATTATATATACACACACATATATATATACACACAGACGGACGGCGCACTGGCGCTCCGCACACATGTCTCACTCCAGCTCACAAAAATGTCGCGGCCGTTCACAGCCGGGCCTCGCAGAAAGCCCGCACGCCCGCCTCCCTCAGACTCCCGCGCTCCAACGCGGCCAGCGCCGCCTTGGCGATGGTGCTCAGATGCTCCCTCTGCGCGCGCCCGTTGCCGAACTGACAAATTTGACGCTTCTCCCCGAATTTCTGCCGCACAGCCATCTTCTGTGTGGCGCTGTAGTACATGGTCGAGTACCTCTCCGTGCTCGGGTTTACGGCTCTGCCGGCGCTGCTCGCCTCCTTCAGCCCGCCTTTCTGCACTGCCGCCGGCTTCTTCTTGGCTGGCCCCGCGCCTTGGTGGGACGCGGCGGGCTTCTTCTTGGCTGGCCCCGCGCCATTGTGGGACGCGGCGGGCTTGCGCAAGCATGCTGGCGCGCCTTTCTGCGCTGCCGCCGGCTTCCTCATCACTTGTCCCTCTGACTTCTCCCCCTGCCTCCGCTCCAGCAGCGCCTGCAAGAGCGCGCGCTCGGTGTCAAAGTCCTCGTCAGACTTTTCGGCTGGAGCCTGGTACGGGACCAATTGCCGCGACTCTGCTGGCGGCTGCGTCGCTGGTGCCGCCTCGGGGCGGGCCTCGGGGCGGGCCTCCGGCGCCCTGCCTATAGGATCCGTGGCCGCGCTAGCCTGCGGCTCAGTGGCTGCGCTCGCCTGCGCCGCTGGCGCAACCGCGGCCAACGCCGTGTCCGAAGACGCCCGCGCGAGCGCGGACGGCATAGCCGCGGAGGATGGCGTCCCCAGAGCTGCTTCCGAAGGCAAGTGGCGCAGGGCGGCGCTCAGAACCAAAGCTTGGGTCACGAGCTCTGACGGCGCCTGTCCCTGCTTCGGATCCTTGGGCAGCGCGCGCCGAGCTGTGCGTCACGCGCAGCGGGATCAAGGCAGCCAAAGTCCGCAGACGTCCAAGGCGTGTCGCAGGGGACTCACGCTTGCGGATCCAGGAGCGCCAGCGCGCCTTCACGGTCGAGAGCAACTCGTGCATCTCGAAGCTACTTCGCTTCACCGAGTCGTAGCAGCAGACCAACGCAGTCAAGCAAGCGAACGTAGACTCAAAAGGCAGCCTCAGGCCCAGCTGGTAGCAACGCTCGAAAACGCGTTCCGCCTTTGCCGTGGTGGCCAAGTCCGATCGCTGAAGCTGCGCCCAGACTGCCTCGCTGAGCATATACGCTGCGCGCGTGTAGTCTTGCGCAGGTCGCCGTGCGCGCGTCTCCATGCCTCCCACCAAAATGCTCCCACAGTCTATATTTGCTTGAGCCCAACTGCCAAGACAACCCTCAAAAACTCTATCCCCATAAGTAGGATAAGTAGAAAATATGTAGAACATTGTTTTTTTCGTCATACTTACGTTGTACTTATAAGTATGCATAATTTTTAACATAACTAGCACAAGTATCTATATAACTACGATAAGTTCCAAGCCATTTTCGTAGAACTTACGCAACTTATTATGGTTATAACTAGGTTATAACTCTAGTTGTCCCATTCATAACTAAGTTATAAGTATAAAAAACACAAGGTGGGGACCCTCAACAGGCGCCGAAGCTGCTGCGGCAGCTGGTGTTGACGAAGATGCACGGGCACCTGAGTCTGGCTGAGGGTAAACACGACCCATCGTTGATGGCCTACGGAGCAGCGAGAAGCGTGCTGCGATAGGGTCGATGGGGCCTTCCGTATCTTGAACGATACGGCTGATAATTAACCAGTTGATTGGATCGCCCAACTTACGTTACGAAACGGTAGTTGGTGAAAGAAGTATGCTAAATCCCTAGCAGCCCGGGGTATGGAATCAAAGGCACGGCCGGTTTCCGAGGGACGGGAACCCGTGGCTTTGTGATGTGGAACCGAACGAGCGAAGCACGGAGGCAATCGAACGGACGGCGAAGCGAAAGGTGCAAAGCGGGACGAAAGTACGGTCAACCACCGGTCGACTCGCACGGCACCCTGAAGGAAAACCGGAAGTGGCGCCGATTTCCTTGAGCCAAATGTTGTCGCGTCGTATACACGTTTGTGTATGTTCATGTGAAACGCGACACAAAGCAATAACTGTACATGTGGAGTACTGTTTCATGTTAGGGCGTGTAGAAAAATGACTTTCCTGCGGTGATGCATATCGGCATATCGGGCGTCAGTCATCTAGTTTTGGAGCTTTCCTGCGGTCACGCATAGGGTCCGCAATCTTCCTCTTTTGGGCCGGCTTTGGTTTTCTATATGCCCTACCCCCAACAAACATGGAAGTGGAACAGCCTCTTGGAAGACTGCTTTCCTCCACCAATAGTTTTCCACTTCCATGACTGTTTTCAGGGAGGATAGATTTTTGCAAACAAATTTTCTGATGGTCTTGGTGAGGTCTTGGTCAGAAGAAGCAATGAGTGCCATAAATTGCTAATTGCATCTAATTGCTAAATGATGTGGGGGAGTTGGGGGGGGACCTGTATGCACATGAAAGCATTCAATATGCAAACCCATCCAAGCGAATTTCAAGATTCCAGTGCGCCCTCTCCTGTTCCAAGTTTTTCGCAGCACAGCGGTAGCTGCGCCTTTGTGAGCTCCAACCTTGCTTGGGAGATGGACTATACAAGAAGTTGCAACAGCAAGTCCAGGAAAGTGTGCTCCAGCAAGCTCTGAGCTCTTAAAAATTCGGTAGCGAAGCAAAAAAGGCCAGGATGAATAATGTGATCAAGGGCCAGAAAGGAACCAACATATTGGTCGCAATCGGAGATGGGAAATAAATCGCAGGCCAACATCACTGAATGAGAGAAAAATAGATACAAATTGTCCATAGCATAATATAATAGCAACCTTTTATTCCAGCTAAAGGCCGCGGCTCAGCCGAAGCTCAGAACAAAATGACCGCGCCAGGAATGGGAGCTGTAAAAGTACTATATAAAACTATCATATAAAGGTTGGTTTGCCAACCACATCAATGACAACAAACCTATTCGGGCCCCTTCTTGACAAAAACCACTCCAAAGCCAGTTTCGTTGTTTCAGATGTACCCCTGGGCAAACATAAGAGAAAACCACCCTACTGCAACGCAAATTCAATCCCGACGCACTATCAAAGTAAATCCAAAGCACGCGCGAATTGGTCTCACAAAATTTTGGGATGATGCGATTTCAGCAAGTCTGGTGGTGTGATGCGTTGGTTTTTATATATTTTGTGGGGAAACATGAGCTATTTATGTTCATGCAATGAGGATCGTATGACTACAGTATTTATTGCTTACAGCAGTCTTTACTTGGTCCGGAGTGCGGAAGGTCCCACCGGCTCCCAACCACGTGAACAACATAGTTGAAGCAAGCAGCTCAAGACCTTAAAAGGAATGGCGACTCTTTTCTCCTTCGAAGCCTTGCCATCTTGCTTGGCCTCGCCAAAGTTCACCTTTGCCCTCCGCTGTGATTGGCCTGCCAGCCCATGTCTAGTGCAAGTCCATGCAATTTACGCTCTTCGCAGCTCGACATAGCCCAAGTGGTCCACTCAAATCCACATAGTCTTTTATCTCTCTGTCACACGTGTGTGCTCGGCGGCCTGATTTTCTGGCTTTCAACGGAGTGAAATTCATACCCTTCCGTGACTCACTCCTTGGAATTGAAGGCGCGACTCACTGAAAAACGCTCTGCGTTCGCCAAAACATGTTGACTTGGTGCTTTGTTAGCCACGACTCCGCCCCCGCAAGCGCGCGAGATCTTCACCTCAAATGCGCAGCCAAGTCTGAACCAGTTTTACCTTTTGTGTCTGAATCAAGGAGCCGTAACGCAGGTGAAAGTCCAAAGCCGATGGCAGCTGAAAAGCACGACAACCCTGGGTTCATTGTTCCAATCTTTAAACGCGCGTTCCGGTCCAACACACGCATACTTAAGATTTTTGGGCCAGCGCAGTGCTGGGTTCAAGAAAACTAAGCAGGACGTCTCTCGAATTGCCCAGTGTCGTTCGAGCACCATGTCTGACCCTTGACCGATTATCGCGAACTTAAACTTGGGATACTTTTCCAGGCTAAACTTGGGCCAATGGGGTTTCAAAGCGGCTGGATTGGCTGGACATATCACGCTACCCAACAACAGCGTGTGTGCAGCAAATGGGTGAGGAAAACACATCAACTTTGCGTTTGCCTCCAGCGCGGCTCACGCTAGATGGTTGGCGCGCAATCACTATTCACACCGCTTCGAGGTCGAAGCCGCCCGCACAGAGTAAAGGGAAGCCATACACACACATACAGACATAGGCATCCATCCATGCATACAGACATACATACACGCAGACACGCATCCAGACATACATGGGAAAAGCGTGTCATTAGCACCCTACCGGCTCGGCAGCAACTTGCGCTCAGGGAGCCGGGAGGAAATGTTAACCGGGCTCACGTGTCTCAGAAGCGTGTCTCAGTCTGTCTCGGTCTGTCCGCTTCGGCCTGTTGGTCTCGGTTGGTTGGTCGGTCTATCTGTTTCGGTCTGTCTGTCTTGGTGTGTCTGTCTCGGTCTGTCTATCTCGATCTGTCAGTCTGTGTCTCGGTCGGGCAGGACACACGGATGAACACACGCGCGCACGATGTCAATAATGCAGTGTCCCCCGGGCCCCGGGTTGCACACGCGTCCGCGACGTTGATAATGCGATCTCCCCCGGCCAGCGTAACCGGCGTCGCCAACGGTTGGTCCAATCTTTATCAATTTTCAAAAAGCGCTACAAAACACACGTTTCTAGGAGAAAAATGCATCCCCAAGCTAAAGCTTAGGGTTTAATCTAGCAGATTTTGCGGTTGCTGTTGATGCGAGCTTCTACAATGCACCAGCACCTTCGGCACGGGCGGATTTTTGATTTTTCCTAAAGATTGACCACCTTCAGAGAATGGTGCTTTGCGGACTAGAATGGTGCAGTGCTTGCCCTCCAACTTGCGGCGCTTATGAGTCTTCTTCTCCCACATTCTGATTCGGGATCTAATCTATCTCAAGGGCTTCGGCTCGCTGTAGGGTAGGCGGTAGGCATGCTAAGCGCGCGACCTGATAGTGCACCTGCGACATGTTTCGCCGACTGGTAGTTTGCTGCTAGCCACAACTTGCAGTACCAGACTGGCAAAGCAAACGCTAGCCTGTTTGGACGGTATGCAGCTTGACTGCTGCCAGCTGCGGCTTGAAGTACCAGACTGGCGAGGCAAACGCGCCTGCTTTGCTATTTCAGTTTCTGAAAACCTCTGCACTTGGTGCCATACGGCATCGCCTTTGCCGCGTGGTGCTTTGTCTGGTTTCCCTGAGAATCCTAGATTGAAAAAAACCAATCTGGATTGGTTGGGTTTGATTCGAACCAATCTGGATTGGTTCTCGACCAATCACCAATCTGGATTGGTTTTCCAACCAATCCAGGAACCAATCTGGGAACCAATCTGGGGATTGGTTATGTTATAACCAATCCTGGGGAACCAATCCAGGCCCAATCCAGGATTGGTTAACATAACCAATTCCCAGATGGTTCATGTGGTCTGAGAACCAATCCAGGACCAATCCCAGACCACCTGAACCCTGCTCAGCAGCTCACAAGAAGTGCATTATTCCATTGCAAAGTGTCCAATCTAGAATGCTTTGTTGCAAGCATACTTCAATGCTGTTTTGACACATTTCTGCAATGTTTCTCACTTTTTAGATGGCTCTCAGCAATATTGGCCCTTTGGCACATTTTTTCCTGGCAAGGATGACAAAATGTCCCCTTCTCAGTGAGCTCAAAAATGTGATCAATGGTGGGAGGTGCAGCAGCCTTTGCTTCTTCATACCAAATCCAATCGCCAGGCTTTGTTTCAAGCCTGAGGTTGACTTTGGGGGCTGGTTCTTCAGCAGGTGTGGCTTCTGCACCCTCTGTGTCACCAGGCTTTGTTTCAAGCCTAATGTCTTTGGGGGCAGGTTCTGCTTCTCCCTGCACTTGCACACCCAACCTGCTGAACTGTTCTTGGCATTCCTGCAAGAGCTCCTGGTGCTTTTCTGTGCATCATCAAACCCTGTGAGGAAATCCTTGCGCCACGTGACACTTCCATACTTAGGGCTTCTGTCCTTTTCCATTTGCCAGCTCCATTCATCTTCACTCCACCAATCCCAATCTCCACCCCACTGCCACCCATCATTCCAATCATTCCATGCACTACATTCATCCCAATGACCCCATGCATTGGAAGATTCCCATGCAGTCCTACTCCAATTCCAATCATTCCATGAACCCCTGTGTGTCATGACAGGGTTGGCTTTGTTTCAAGCCAAGCAAAATTGCTAGTGCTTGGGCGGCCAAAACAGCTGCAGGTCACCCAGCAGGTTCTGCTTCCACATCATACTTTTTGGGTTCTATTTGTTTTGGATATAAGATCGAAAAAGACCCTTTTTTTTCAAACCCATATACTGTATGTCTTTTAATGCTTTTTCTCAAGCGTTAGACTGAGGCTTGGGTCAGCCTCAGATGCAATGCGCACAGGTATTTCTCCACCAAAGAATGGGAGAGCCTGACAGACCTTGCACCATGACTGCAAGAATGTTCCAAAATACTAATCTTTCCCACAAAGGACTCTGTAAAGTAGCACCAGCTTTTGGGAAAAAGTTGGAAATGCAGCCGATCCTCTTGAGGGTGTGGAAATTTTTGGCGCAGACACATGTAATGCTGCAAAGCACCTCTGATGGCACAGAAGATGGCTTCTGCTTCAGCAGCTGTAGTATGAATGTCAGCACCATCCAAGGCAACATAGTACTCAGACATTTTTACCAATGCAGCAGCAGCGTGCAAGAGCCAAATTTGGCTTTCAAGCCATTATGGGAAATCCTTTGCAAAGCCAAGGCCATAGCTGGGACAAGGTGCTTCAATTCCCCTGCGTGCCCCTTCAAAAAAAAGGGCCTTGCCAAGGCTTCAGAGGGTTGCAAAACATCCCCAGCTTCAGGTTGTTGAGCCTTTCCTCTACATGCAACTCTTTGTAACAATCCTTGATCAATGCACAAAAACCATCCAAGTGCTTTTGAGCAAGCTTAGAATCTGAAGTGATGTCTTCCCCAAGACCACCACAATAGACCAAGCCACGCAATGTGCTGCCACACAGCCTGCCACATAACCAAGGTCAATGGTGTGGAGGCCATCAAACAAGATTCTGTATGCTGCTGTGCACCCTGCAACATCATTTAACAAAGGATGCCTTGAGGCTGGATTAGCAGTGTGTTGCTCCAGAGTGTACAATTCCCATCCAGGCTGCGCAGAAAAGTCATATATGAAATTGGTTGGGCTGGATCTGGAGCCATTGCACAAAGGACAGAAGGCATGTGTATTCCAATGTCGAAATTTCAAATTGTTTGCAAAATAATCCAGATCACCCAAGTAGTTCCACATGATGAACCTGACCTTCCTGTTGGGCACCAGGCTTTGGCCTGCAAGCTTTGCCAGTGGCCCAGCCACTTTCTTACCATTTTGATCATGTTCTGGCCATGTGCCAGACCAAAGAGCATTCAATGACCAACACATAGCTTTGTAGATTGAATCCCAAGTCTTGGGGGCAGTTGCACTTTTAGGAAAGCTGGCAATCAAAAATGCTTTGTCAAGTGCCGTCAAATCATGTTCTTGGTTTTGGCTTTCTTCCAAGCCATTGGTCCCCAAGATGCTTCCCCAACTGAAAGTCAACAGGCTGTCATTGGAGCTGTATTCAGCACCATCTCATGCAACCAGCGAGGGACGATCTCAGCACCCTCTTCTTTCAATGCTTCACAAATAGGTGAGCCACACAGTCTTGGATCATCAGGCTTTATTCCAAGCCAAAAAGATTTGCTCTTGGAAAAGCCAAAGATGTTTTCCATGTGCTGGGAATAGTGCAATGCCAGCTTGCCAACCAAGCAATGAGGAGGAACCCACGCCATGCTGGCTTCCACTTCTGGGGGGTTAGCCTTGCTGTCCAAAGCTTGCACCTTTAAAAGAGAAGACTCCAGCTTCATCTCTTTGCAAGCTATGGCAATTGGCTTTGTGGGCACCCCAAGTGCCCAAAGAAGCCAGCCTCACCAAGGAATGGGAACCCAGTCCATCCTCAATGGCACAAGCAGCCAAATGCTGCAAGGCCTGTGCTGAAAGAAGACCAAGCCCCCAAAGCTTGGTAAGTGCATTGCCAAGTGAGCTCTCTTCTTTTTTGTGTTTTTAATGTTGTCAGCCCTGAGCATTTCCAATTTTTGTTTGATACCTGGCATGGCCAGCTGTGTTTCAAGCTGTTTCTACCCTTGATCCTGAAGAAAAGTTGCTGGGCATTGCTTTCAACTAAGTATGACAACATGTTGAGGTGAGATTCCAACCATTGGTCAAAACTACAATGCTCTCTTTCAAGCATTTCATGCTATATTTCAAGCATGGTTCTTCTTGTGCTGTTTCAAAACTGCAGCAGTGCTGCCCAAAATCTTCTTCACATTCTCTAGGTCCATCTCTGGCTAGACCATGGCTTCCTCCACATTGTGCTGGGCATCCAAAAGTTCTTTCAACAGTGAGGTTGCTTAACCTTTGGCATCAGCAGCCTTCAGCACCCTCACTTCTTTCAAAACTAAGGTTGCCATTTTTGAGAGATTCTTTTTTTGCTAAGGCTTTGTCACAAGCCTCACTGCAAGCATCAATTTGTTCTTCATACTTTTGGATTTTCTGTGCTTTTGCCTGCTCTTGTTTTTTGGCTTTTTCCTGTTCCAGGGCAAGCTTCTTGTCCTGTGCTTTC